CGGTGTTGGGGATGCTGGTGAATTTTGAGAGTCTACTGAGAGGTGAGCTGTTTCAGGAGCACTGCATGGTAAGATGGGGCTACAACTGGATGGGAGGAACACCATAGGGGTGAGACAGATGGGGATTCAGCAAGTTTGATAAGATATCCATTAGGCATCATAGTAAAAAAACCCTCCAAAAAACTTGACTCAACTCACATTTAGCCAAAAGACCTAAGATTTAGTTAAGACAGTTAAAATCTCATTCCGGCTAGTTGAGAATTTGAATTCAGTCAAACCTGCTATCTGTTCAATTTACCATGAAACTGTCAGAAAAACCCAACTGGTTCATAATGCTTTTAAGGAAGGAAAGTCCTTGTTCTTATCTACCACATACATGATTCCAGTTCCACACTATCATGGTCAATTTTTAACTGCCCTCTGAAGTAGCCTATCCAGTGCCATAAAACAGCTATATGTGGCTCAGAAAAGTCGCTCCCTACCACCTTCTCAGAGGAACCAAGAACTGGAAATAAAATGCCAATATCACCCATGTCTCAAAAATAAACTTTTGAAAAATTGCTCACACCAGCCCTTTTCACTGTGAGCATGACTAGCACATCCCTGATGTGGAGGTTACAGTGAAACGCATTCATAGACAAATGCTGCAACTTTGCAGACCAGGAATGTGTTACAAGGCAGCGTTATAATGAGTAACTGTGATAGCATCATAGATTGAAGCTCAATAAAGCAGTTTCATCTGATGGAGCAGAGAAGAAGATCTGCTTGTTCTGTCTACGCTGACTCATTGACACGTTAGCCTTTAAGCCCATTCCCTGCCCTTTCTTCGTATCTGATACTTTATTTCTCAAATAAACATTAATTTCTAATGAATTCCAGTATCACTGTTTCTTCTGAAAGGGGACTCTTTTCCTGAAAATCTCTCTGAGGAGAAAAACAATTCTAAACCCTCTCTCTTCTTTCTTTTCATGATGGTCTTAAAATTTATGCCCCCTATTTACCCACTAGTGGAAATAACTTATCCATGTTGTGTTTTAAACATTTCTATTAGACCCCAACCTTCTCTGTTTCATTGAAATGGGTTTAGTTTCTTTTCTCCAGACTGGTGCATGTTGACTTTGGTACAACATTTGAGAATTTCCTGCACGACTTTCATGTCTTTTAGAACTTCTGAATGTTGCCCAAAACTGGACAGAATATGTTAGTTAAATGTAACCGAAGATTGTAAAACTTTAGCATTATTCATTTGCTACTTTTTGTACTTTGCCTCTAAAAATCTTGAATCTATTAAGTTTTGGTAGAAATTTATTAATTTATCCCTTCAAAGGTATAAGTCTATCTTCAGAGAAATGTCCATATATTTGAAACAAGGATTACTGAAGAAGGGTTAATAGACTGGAAAGATTAACTCTGTTTTCAGATGCTGCCAAACCTGCTGAGTTTCTTGAGTAATTTGTTTTTTGTTTATTTCAGATCTCTAGTAACTGCAGTTCTTTGGGTTTTTTTTTCTTTGTCTGAAGTTTTTATTATTTTCCTTGGGCTGAATTTTTATTCCCACCAATGTCAGAAAAGAGGTGGGAAACTGTGGAATTCATTGACTTAAGTTGCAATTTGCTGGGTCAGCCCCTCCCCGCCCTTCCATTTTGCTGAAGGTGGGATGAAGGTTTTGCGGGGATGGGTAGGAGCAGCAGGGCTTGTCAATAACCTAGTCAGTCTAAGTGTCATAGGCTGACTGGAATTTTCTGCTCAGAGTACAGACCCCACCAATGGTGAGCAAGTATTCGTTCCACAGTCTGGAAGCAGCCCCCTTCCCCCAACCTGGTCAATAGGCTGGTGCTCTTAAAGGCCCATTCTGCTTGCCTTTTGTCAGCACTAGCTGCTACCCATCGCCTCGCCAAATCCCCCTCCTCCACCACCAAAACCATCACTCAACCAATGCCTGTCAAACTGCTGCATTTTTGTTTTGAAATGTAAAGTTAAAAAGTGAGAAAGATGGTACATCAAAGAGGCAGCCTCTCTCTCTCTCTCTCTCTCCCCAGCACTGACTGGCCTTGTGTGCTACCACTGCCTTCAAGCTGGAGAACCTTTGATTATATCATAGAATATCGTAGAATCCCTACAGAGTGGAAACAGGCCATTCAGCCCAACAAGTCTACGCTGCCCCTCTGAACAGCATCCCACCCAGACCCACTCCCCTAAATTCCTGTGTCTAACCCAGCTAACCTAAACATCCCTGGGTACTATGGACAATTTAGCACGGCTAATCCACCTAACCTGCACATCTTTAGACTGTGGGAGGAAACTGGAGCACCTGGAGGAAACCCACGCAGACACGGGGAGAATGTGCAAACTCCACATAGACAGTCGCCCAAGGCTGGAATCGAACCCTGGTCCCTGGCACTGTGAGGTAGCAGTGCTAACCACTGAGCCACCTCTGATTGAGGGGCAAAAATCACAACATGAGTGGCTGGTCCTCATACAGACGGGGCTTCTCATCCCCAGGTGAGACTGATGGTAGGTTCCTGAAGCCTGCAGAGAAATTCTTCCATATGGCACATTTAAAACAGTGCTACTTGTTCATCTTGCCAGGCTTCTCCCTCCTCCTCCTTATTGAAAGTACTAACCTATGAGGCTAGGGTTAAGTTTGTGGTGTTTTTCCTCATTCATGTATCCACTACACATGGGTGAGTCTTGACAAGGATGCTTGAGTGCTCAACTGCCCACAGCAGCCTGTTCTCATTCTTACCCCAATAGTGGATAGTGAAGATCTTTCGAGCAAGTCTCTCCTCCCTGATACAGAGCCACACAAGCACATTCTAGACCCTTTTACTAATAAAATCAACTAACTCGGCACAGTTCAGTGATCAATTCCAAGACTACCCTGGTTTGTATGGCGCAGCGAGTTACTCACTGGATAAACTGTCTGAGCCATCAGAGGAACAATGCAAATATATCTGGTGAAGAAATCCTGAGGCAATGATCTGAATAATAAGTCCCCAGAGTTGGTAACAAAGCACACATGTATGTACCAGGTGATTCAAATTAAAATGTTATCAGTTTGGGGCTATTTGATACAGGAAAATCAGACGCCTTGTGCATGTTGTAATCACATTCCTGATATAATTTAATCAATTTGTGTTTTTTTAAATCAAGTCTCAATTGAATCCTGATGGAGTATTGTTGTTCTGTGTGAGTCTGAATAGAAGTACACTTTTGCATTGTGACCTATAGCCATATTGTTCATTTTGATGAAGCATTCAAACACCAGGCAACACAAGTTAAAAAGTAGAGAATTTTAATTTATCCTGGTTACTCTAGCTTAAACCTGCCATACATATGTCTGCATGTTCCTGTTTTCTGGGAGAATTTAAGGAATGACTTGAAAGGAACGTAAAAGCAGCAGATTATCTCTCCTTTGCAAATTCTAATCTCCCTGAGAGAGATCAGCTGGGTTCATGCTCTACCAATCCTTTGGAATTTTGAGGCTAATTAATCTTATACATGTAGAAATAGTGAAAATATGCCGGATATAAAGTAACAAGCAGGGGAGAGAAAGAGAGAGAGAGAATTGGTCTTGTAATTTAGTTATCAAATTTGTTCCAGGCCAGCAGTTTGAGCTTTGCACTGAAGAAATCTGTGCAGTGTAATTTGGGTGCGAGATTACTTGAAACAAATTTAAGCAGAAGACATGTAAGACACCACCTTCAGACCATAGTTGCAATCCTTTTGGGTTTTGCTGTTATGACACCTCCAAAGCAAAGAAAAGCTTAAAAATGTTCCCTTGCTTGTGAACATTTTTGATTTTAGCAGAGAACTGCTGACTGTACTGTCAAGCTTTTTTGATACACTAAAATACATATCCTTTCCTTAGGTTTGTTTAGACATTATGGATCTGAAACAAAAGAGTGTAGGGATAAGTGGAAACATATTATCAGACAATGAATCTGATCGGCTTCATCCTCAGGATTTAATAGAGGGGGCTAATAGGGTAGCAAATTAACTTTCCAAATTTCACTAGATTCTGGTGAGGTCTATCAGAGTGGAAAGTAGCAAATATAACTCTTCTATTCAAGAGGGAAGCAGAAAACAGGAAACTATAGGCTAATTAACTTTATGTCTGTAATGGGGAAATGTGTTAGAATTTATTATTAAGAATACTATATGGGACACTCAGAGAATCTCAAGGTAATCAGGAAGGGTCAGCATTGTTTTGTGAAACGCAAATCATGTTTAGCCGATCTATTGGAGACAAGACATTGCTACTGGGAATGTGTAAATTAAGATAGTACTGACTGGTGGCAGAGACTTAGAAAAAAAGGATGAGGAGCCTTGGTACAGTACTAGCAATAAAATACTGCAGGCTGACAAACTCAGAACTCACATTAGCTGCAAAACTAAATGCTCAAAACCAATGCAATTAATTTGAACTACAAGCAAGGTTTAAAAAAAGCTGGAATCAGACTGGCCATGGGATGGCTGGTAAATGAATTAGAAATATACACAAGGATGCACTGGGGAATACACTTTTGGTACTAGGCATTAGGAATATTACTGGAGCAAAGTAACATGGATGTAGTTAGCATCTGTCATATCGGAGAACTGATCTGCACGTGGTAAAAGTTGATAAATTGAAAGAGGATGAGTCCCAGGATTGGTGGTTACCACTTTGATGAAAAATTATACTTAAAGATGCAGTAAGTTTGTGATTTTTTTTTCCACTGGTTGTTGAATTACATTGAGAATAGTGCAAGAGGCTATAGCTGCAAATTAATAAAATGCATTAGGATGTTCTTTATACTAATAGGGAAATAAAGTTCCTGACAAAATTGTGGAGGCAAACATTTTTGCCATTTGTACTTTATATCTTTGTTGAAAATCGTTAAGTTTTCCTCAGTTAAATATTACAAACATTGTTCTGATGAGAGATAACATAAACAGTATGAATAATTGCATTCTTTACCAGCTCGAGACTGGCACATTCCCTCAGATTGTTCATCAGAAAATCGCATCCTGAATCTCTCAGAAATAGTCAATATAAACAGAAATATAAACAATTACCAAATTGTTTCAGAGGGACATTTCTGGTTTCCAAATCATCTGCAAGCAATTAGAACAAGAAAAGTGTGATTTTTTTTATCTAGACGGAGTTCAGGATGGAAGAGAATGTAGAGATATAGGTGTATGCGTTGGTGTTGGACACATGGCGGAAAATAACAAGCCTTCCAATGTACAGTCCACTCGCTCACTCGTATACATAGGGGTTATTATCAATGTTGAAATTGTCAATATGAGTGAACACAAGTAGATATCATTAGGGTTTATGCCTGTAATTAAATAGAGCGCCATAGTAAGTGATGATTAAGTGCAATGCTTGTGGTAAAGCACATTGTAAAAATGGGTGAATACAATCTGTCCTGCTGCAGATTCTGCTCAGCTACAGATTGTGTCCAGTTATAGGTTCTAACTGCTGGCTTTGTCCAGTTGCCAATTCCATCCAATTCACTGTTCAAACTGTGTCCAGTTGCAACCTCTGCCTACTATCAAGTGACTGCACGCAGTTTCGGAAATAAATTCAGGTAAAATACATTCCCGTTGCAAGTATCCATCCAGCAGAGTCCCCAGTGACCAATCAGAGAGCGCGGGTATGTTTGCTATAAAGTGTGCTGGGGGGGAGGAGAGGGAAACTGTAGACAGAGAGAGAAGGAGAAGCAACAGCAACCGGGACAGAGCAGTGAAGCACAGAACGGAACAGAGCAAAGATTAGTAACACAGGACGAAGCAAAGTAGTTGCAGAGCTCGCAGAAAAGTTCTACAGCACAACAGAGGGAGAAGAGAGCAGGAGCAGTAGGCGAGAATCCAGGACCGGGAGCAGGCTGCAGCCTCCTGCCTTGTGCTGTTTGACATGCGCCTGATCCAGAACATGTCGACCATCCAGGAGTATGGCCCGGCGGAATATACCGCCAACAACCGGGTGGTCAAGATCGCGGTGATCGGTGGCAGCGCCGTCGGGAAAACCGGTAAGAAACACGGGGCGGCGTGTGTGCAGTCTCCAGGTGCCGCTCTCTGCCCCCTGCAGTGCGGTGCCAGGCACTGGGGCAGTGCCAGGTACTGGATCACTGCTGCTGGCGCCTGGCTCTTTTTGAAGTGAGAGTGGATAGAAGCTTTGCTGCTGTGTGCAGGCAAGTGCCTGAGCAATGGTGGGGTGGGGGTGGGGGGAAGAGTTCTATCAGTTTGGGGGGTGGGGAGGGGGGGGAAGAAGTGCAGAGAAACTGTGCCAGCTGCAGCGTTGTGTTTGCCCCCTCACTGTGAAATGCCCCTGCTGTGGGGAGGGGGTCCTGAACTTACAAACAGCTTCATCTTCTCGTTTGATTTTTCCCCTCAGCTTTGGTGGTGCGATTTCTAACCAGGAGATTCATTGGAGACTATGAAAGAAATGCAGGTAAAGGGCCCCGTAGTTTTCCATGCTTTTGAAAACATCTGAAGCCTCATTTCTGAAGTACATTATACTTCTTTTACTGTCCTAGCAATGTAATGTAATTTGATTTTCTCTTCTGAAATGACTGATTTTAATATTTCAGGTGCTTTATACTCCAGACAAGTCCAAGTAGATAGAGAGCAGATTGCACTACAAGTTCAAGACACACCAGGTGTTCAGGTGAGATTTTTTTGCTCCCCCTTCATCTTCTCAATTATACTTCACATAACAACAGAAGCCTGGTGGGAAGGCGAGTCTTTGCTGACACAAGGGTTCTCCTTGTTTGATTTATTCCACCAGTATAATACTTGGGTCAATTTACCGGAATCCAAATGTTTTGAAGGAGTGATGTTGGTTGTGTAGTGCTGAAACTGATCATTTCCCCCCTGCCCCTGCTGCAAGAGTATAATTTTATTCAAATTAGTTTCTTGCACTTCATTACTCTTTTAAACAAATCTCATCACAAGAAACAAAGGACATGAAAAATGTATATTTGTATGGGTTTTAGATGAGATGTCTCTCCTACTTGTCTGCTAAATGTATGCTGCAAAATCCTCTCGTAACTCACTAATTTATCCAGGGGCAGCTGAGCCAAGCCAAGCAGAACAAGATTTTACTGAATGTGATCCCTTGTGTGCTGAATCAGCTGATTTCAGCCAAGCTAGGAGTTGGGAACTGGGACTATCTCTCTCCTAGGTTAGAGGAATAGTAGAGTTATAATTTCCTGTTGAAAGTACTTTTTTTTTGGTTTGCTTATGAACTCAGACTATATAAACAATCCTAACACATTGTTCATGAATAATCCTTGAATCTAATCACTTAGGGAAGGTACCAAAGGATGCCTGTGATATGTGGGGATTGCAGGTCCGTTTGAACACTGCTTTCTTGTTATCTAGAGACTAAACCAATAGCCTTTCTTCAGAAGATCTTTGACCTGAAACATAAATTGTTTTTATATTCATAAATTCTGCCAGAGCTGAATAGTTCCAGTATTTTCTGATTTTTATTTCAGAATTCTAACATCTGTAGTATTTTGCTTTTTCTTAAATTAGAAGCCACTTTTTTTGTTAGGGCATAAAAGTATGGTTTATTAAAATGGATTTCAAAACCTAGGCCTTTAAATGCTACTCAACATTCATTGTGCAGCAAGGATCCATTCACTGTAATGGTCATTCTCATTCTAAGATTTTTGGGGAGGGGGTGGGCACTTAACAACAGCTGTTATACAGAATGGCTATTGTATCACTATTATTGACTTTCTTTACACAGTAAATAGTGATGTTGTGAGCAGACATTGCAGAAAATCCCTAGTTGCTGAACCAGTTGGTGTGCTTTAGCAGATGTAGCCACATTCCTGAAGCACTGTAACACTACTATTGTCCAAACTGAGAAGTTCTACAGTTTCACGGTCCATTAATCTGCATTCTGTGGTAAGCTGTTGGACACATGTCAAGTCAATGTGTTTCATCTTACTACAGTTAAATCCAGTACATGAATACCGGTGCTGACATTTTGAACTTCTTGACATTACTTCACACAAGGTGATTATTTGAGTACGTGAACTGCAGAATTATGTTCCTTAGAAAAGCCACAGTTGTTTTTTGGTACAAAAATGCATCGCTTTGCCAAAGATTTATCAACAGTTGGGTGATGTGTAGGGGTAAATGAAGCTACTTCTACAGTTCAGTTTTTTTGCTGCTTTTACAAAAAAAATTCTTCATAAGATGTCAGCATCACTGGCTAGGTCAACATTTATCATCCATCATGAATTGCCCAGAGGGCAGTTAAGAGTCAATCACATTGCTGCAGGTCTATAATCACATGTAGGCCACACCAGGTAAAGATGACAAATTTCCTTTCCTTAAAAGAGATTAATGAACCAGAAGGATTTTTATGACTGGATAAGTTAGGCACTGTTTTCCTTTAATTCCAGATTATTTTTAAATTCAAATTTCATCATCTGCCATCTGTGGGATTAGAACCCATGTCCCAGAACGTTCACCTGGGTTCTGGATTACTGGTCCAGTGACATGACCACTACTTCACCACCTTCCCGTAGCAGAATTCATCATTTCAAACTGCACCCCATTCCTCTCCTGTCCGCCACCCCCCCTCAATACCAACAACCCTATTATAAAATTCAGAAACAATTTTGTTTACAATTGGAAAAAAATAATGTATTCTTTTCATGTTCTGAAAATTATTTCTAACTATGTAGTCAGGTACTTAAGGATCAGCAGAATAGAGATAAAACACTCCACTGTATATTCAGGAAAGTATTCACTCAAACTAACACCCTGCACTTGTGGGAAACTCCTGTCACAGATGTCCCTACATGGACAGGGGCAGAATTCAAATCATCCCAACTAAATACATCATCTGTTCTGCAGTTCCACAAAGGGTGTAATTTACATTCATGCTTGGATGGGTAACAGCTGTTGTAGAATGGCTGCTGTATCCTAATGTGTTCAATTGTTCAATTATTAACAAATTGATCCATATATTTAAGGCACTAATATCCATCCACATGAATAAAACTGTATGTCTGTTTTGCATAAGCTCTAACTTTCTAACTAATCCATTCTAATGTTCACCTATTTTTTGACTGTCCTATTGGTGACCTCTCCTCTATAACTCAACCATATGCTGTTTGTGCATTCTTTAACTCTTTCCTGGTGGAGATTTGTTTTGATTCAAACTCCACTTCATCCTTTCAAAGAAAAAAACATTGGTCCAGTTACGCATCCTTTATCTTCCAGGACTATGAAAGATGCAGAATCTGCTTTGGTCTTGTTTTTAACTTTCTTCTTGCTACTTGTGCAATCTAGGTGCTATCCCTTATTTTTCAGCACAGTCTCACTATCTGGCAAACTCCTTCCACATGTGATGTAGGACTATGGGCCATCCTTCATGTTTGGAATGCCATTTAGATTACATACACAGATGGGGTTTTAACAAACGGAAGGGGTGGGGGCATCAATTAATAATGTATGGCAGTGGTGCTCCTGTAATATTTTGGCCTTCTAGCTGTTTGCCACACGTTGATTTTTGAACCACAGGCCTGCCCATTTGACTTTGATTTAAGGCAAAAATATTATTGCACTATTTAGCCCAGACTTGAAATCAATCAAAAAATTGGATTCAAGCTAAATGGGTTAAATTCATAATTTTCTCCACAGATCTATATTTAGATTTATAAGTCGTGCAGGCGACTGAATTGGTGCTCAATACATGAAGTGGGAAACAGGTTGCCTCAAAATTCAAACTGCTTGTTGTTACTTTGCTACACAGCTGAATCAACATAACCCTGCCACAGTAGAGCTATTGTATAGCTCAGACAAAACTAACTGATGTAGAAACGCAGCACAGCACATACTAGGATAACTGACTTTATATTTAAGCTCTGTTCTTGTCTGCAAAATAAACTTGATAGTATTTAAACTCGAAAGAAAAGTGACTTTGTGATGTTTGCTTGTTTATCTCTCTTCCCTATTGTTTTTTTTTTGAAACTCCTTATATATGCATTATATAAAACTTTTTTATCTAATCAGTGTAAATATCCTTTTAATAGTTATTTCTGTTTCTAGATAAGTGGACCAAGTCTGAGCTGCAGTGACCAACTTAACAGATTCATACAGTGGGCTGATGCAATTGTACTGGTTTATTCAATCACAGACTACAAAAGCTATGAACTGATCAGTCGCCTCCATCAACATGTGTGCCGTGTGCATCCAGAGAGCAGAGTTCCTGTCATTATTGTAGGAAACAAGGCTGACCTCCTTCATGCTAAACAAGTGGAATCTCACCATGGCCTTCAGTTAGCAAACATACTAGGATGCACCTTCTATGAGGTGTCTGCGAGTGAAAACTATAATGATGTGTACAATGCTTTTCATGTGCTTTGCAAAGAAATTAGTAAACAACAAATGAGCAGCAGTACTGAAAAGAGGAAAACCTCCATCATACCTAGACCAAAATCACCGAACATGCTAGATTTGAGGAGACGGTTTAAACAAGCTCTTTCTGCCAAAGTGCGGACTGCAACATCTGTCTGAGGTGGCAGCTGAAGATATTGATATTCTAAATTAACACTGATGTTTCATCACACGTGTGTAAGAGACTAGGACAAGTCAAACTGAGCATGAGAAGATCTGGAAAGACAGTACAATACTCAATCATTTGTGCCTTTGATCATTGCTCAGCTAGTAATTTTATGATTTAGTACATCATGGATCCGATTCATGCTACGGTGGGAGTAGACCGTTGAACTATCAGAAATCTCTGACTGAGCTCCTGTTGATAGCTGCATAGAGTTTGTTAACACATCTCTGTATAAAATGATGAAAAAGATGCAGTGGTGATGAATAACTAATTGGGACAAAACTCATTTCTTTAAAATAATTCCTGTTCCTTTGTTTGTTGTAACTTTCCACTTGTTCAATCTAGAAAGATTGTATTTATAATTATAATTGTTTCGTGCTTACACCAATTGCTTTCCATGTTTTCTAGTAAAATGAGTTGCGTTCCAGCAGGATGAACAAGGAAAGGTGGGCAGTGCATTGCAGGAAATCACAAATACGTACCCGATCTTGCCTTGTTTGAGAGCTACTTTTCCCCCTTGAAGTAGCGAGGTGCATAGAATCAGCCTCATTGTTGCCTCTGCTACGTTACAGAATGGACTGCTGTGCAAGTATTTCAATAAGCTTGATACAGTCTTGGTATGTGCAGCTTTTCAGAAAGCTAGCTTTTTGATTCAAGTAAACACAACTATCACATAAGCCATACGACTCTTTGCATTCCATTCCAGCCAGTGGGAGTAAAGCTGGACCTCCATGCCTTCTCAAATTATTTAAGACCTTCTGACCTTCACATTCCCCCTCCCCACACAGCAATCTTGATCGTGTAAAGAAAATATAGCATAAAGGCCTGCAATTGAATCACCCCTGCTCTAATCTATGATATAAGACCGCAGGAATTCAATTGAAGCTTGTTAAATAAAAACAGGCAAATACTGTCCAGAGAGACATTCTAAACTGAGCATTGACACCTGACCTCATGTGCTAAGTGCAAAGAGGATGGAAGCCAGCTTCTAAATGCACTTTATAAAAGCCACTTGTGCTTTTGCTTTAATCTATTTACAGCAATGATTCCTCTCCAGAGGACAATGGATTTTCCAATATTTTGGCAAATAAACATTTAAACCAAGCATGCTGTTTTATGAAAGACTTTTCATTATTTACTTTCACAGTACATCTTGTCCTTGTCAAGCCTAGGCAAGTGTTTATTGTCACTGAGTCCATTTACTAATTTACAGTTTGTTTTGCTACCTTGCATTTTGTCCTTGCAGTGTCTATTAAGTCCCAAGCATACTTCAGTAACAAAGTACTTTCACATATCTGATCTAACCATTGTAATTTTCTTCCAAGTGTCCTTTTTGCACAGAGCCACGCATTTTGTTTTGCTAAGGTTAGGATTGTCAATTATTGATTTCTGCTGAAAAATGCAACCATGTTCCTTGCATTAAACTAGTCAAACAGTTCACTTTAAACATCAAATGAAGTCACACTATACAATTTTTATTTAAGGAAGATACATCCAACTAGATTCAGTGTTTTGGAATAAGTGGATGTGATGAGTGGGCTCTTAAGTTGAAATCTTTTCAAAAACTAACCCTCTTCCACTATTAGCCATTCAGTGCAGTAAAATCTGTTTTCAGTCAAATAGAAGTTCATCACATTAGTGCTTATTTCAGTTGTGGACTAAATCACTGACTACAACAGTAATCTGTGCTACTTATCTACATAATATAAATTGTCTCCACTATTGGTAAATTGAAACAAGATGTATACTCATATATAGGATTGGATTGTTTAAATTTTTAATAAGATGCAGAACAATATTTACACACAGTTTTAAAAGTTTCCAGACTTCATTTAGCCTCAATTTCCCTGAATTAGATTATGATTAAATTGTGTGTGTGTGGAAAAGTGTTTATGGCTTAAGTGTAGACCCCAGGGTCTACAACCAATATATGTTTTAAAACAGGTAATAAAACCATGCAATCTGAAAACAACTATAAATTGAGGACTAATATTTGTATAGTAATCAACGATGCCTGCAGCGTGACAACTTTGCATGAAGTAATAATTAACTAATTTACTTTCCTTCCTTTCCCTTTCCTTGCAGTATGCTGTTTCCCATGTCCCTGGTAAAAAGAAAACTTTCAGTTCAGTACAATCTGAGAACTGCAAAATGCTTAGTATTGTTTTTGGGAAAGGGAAAAACCGGTGGAACTCGATTGTTCATTTATTTTTACACCTGTCCTATAATGTAGTCTTTTTAAAATGCAGTTTGTATATTTCACTTGTCCTACATTGAGTATCCCCATTTCCTGTCACTGTTAACCCTGACAAATTATGTCTGGTTTTTACAGATGCTAATTGTTCTTTGTACTTTGCTCACATGATTGTGTAAGTCTCAACAGTAAATGTTAGCTAGGCTATTTGACCGTATAGGGTATTACAACTGAGCAACCACACACATGGACTTCCACCAGTGGTGGTTAGTTGAATGGGGACCCTTGTCTTCACCACCACCCTTTCACATTCCTGTCCCAGCTGAGGACGGAAATCAGTATGTTCTCATGCTACAGAAATAGGATCAAACTTAGAGCTTTTGTAGTTGGAATGGCTTTGTTATTTGTTGGAAAAAAGAATTGTTGGGGGAAGAGGTGTTTCATAAATACAAGTTCATGTGCCAGCTCCTACTTGGCTGTATCAGATTTTGCTGCATTGCATAGAATCAGCCTCAAACTGAAGAATTTTATTAATAATATAGCAAATGCACACCATTTAAAAATTATCAGTGATTTATTACACCACAATATACTGCAACTGTTTCGAAGCTAATAACTGGTACAAATACCTCTTGTCTGCTCTGCTGTGGTTATGTTCATGCCTGGATGTCCTTGGCGAGGGAGCATGTAGGGTCCATCAATGCTTTCAATGCCTTTGGAGTGGGCACTGTGGGGGATAGAGTGCTTTATTTTCCCCATTCAACTCTATTTTGATTTAGTCCCTTCCTCCTCACCCTATCCGCTCCCTCACCTTTGATGATTTGCATTGCCCATAAAGGGCTTTGCTTGTAAATAGTCTGGGATACATGGGTGTTATTACTGGTGGTGGTTGCTAGTTTTTAATATTAAAAAAAGCACAAACAACAATGTCCTGGTGATTGTAGTGGTGGCAAGGCGCTCAGTTGTGTGTGATAGCACTTCTGAGTAGAAAAAGACAAGTACCTCTTGGCACCTCTTCCATGGATATGCTTGTGCCCGGGCGTTATTAGAGAAATAGCACTCGGTGTCCATCAATGCTCTTGATGCCTTTAGAGAGGTGGGCACACCGGGGGGTACAGTGCTTTATTTCCCCCTCCAAATCAACTTTGATTTAGTCCCTTCCCGCTCTCCCCCCTCACGTTTTTTGGTTCACATTTCCTATAATGGGTTTTGCTTGTAAAAATAGGTAATTAATAGTGATAGTTAGCAGTTTCCAAAAAAAAATTAAATGTCATAGTGATTTGGTGGTTGGTAAGTTGCTCAGTTGTGCATGATAGCACTTCTGGGTAACAGACAAAAAATCTCTGTAGAAGCATTTGTGGTCCAATGTTCCTACCTCTGAGCTAGGAGACCTAGATTCAAGTCCCACCTGCTCCAGAGGTGTATCATGAAATCTCTGAACAGGTTGATTAGGGAAAATAAAAAAAAAACCCTTGTGATGGTTCCTTTGGTGCAGTGATAATGTTCCAACCCCAGTCCAGTACATGGCTCATTTTTGAGTTCATGTCACTCAACAAACCCATTTCACTCTCATCATGCTACCACTTCAAAGTAACTCCCAACGTTAGAACATTAAATTACTTTGACAAATTTATTTAGAATGCTATCAGAAGAAAGTTGCTGCTGTTGTTATTCCCACCTAGAGCTCTGCTGTCATTATGTGGACATATCTGTCCTATGCCACCCTCACTCCTGTGCCACCCTCACGCCTACTCTAGCTCATCTGCAACTGTTCTATGATATTCATCATCCAACTATACTCAGCTCAACCTCTCCTTCTACTGTCCTTCACTTTGATCTCCAGTAATTTTACAGCCTTGATTAAATAGTTGAAAAACTGATTTACTGTTCTGGAAAACTTTTTAGCAATTTCAAGCAACTCTTTGTTTGGTTTGTTCATGAAGTGCTAAACATACATCTCAGCATTCACATTTCAGAGGGAACTACAGATCTTTACATATTCTTCAGGTTTCTGAGGCGTCCAAGAAAGAGGAACAGAAGTATCAATTTTTGTTACAAGCTTGAGTTTTGTCAACACATCCCTCATCTTCACAAAATTACAGAATTAAGTTCTAATTTCAAAAGTTGAACAGTTATCTTTCAAATGACAGTTAATCCATCAAATATGCTATTTCTGTTCCTATAGTTAATGTTACTCAGGTATTTTCTAGGACAATTATTACTAAGTAAATTGATTTAGTGAATAGCTCCAGTTTCCTTAAAGTTCCAAAACAATTTATACCAAATAAATCAGTTCATGAAAAGACCTAGTAGATTTTTAGAAGTTTTTATCAGTCAATGCAGGTTTGGCTACATGACAGTCGCTGCCATTTTAATTTTGTTATTTGGAATACTCACTCTGATTAAGCTGGTTTTTATGTATGTATCTGTGAGATATACACAGTTGAGTTTCCTCTCCGGGAAGGAGTTACCTGGTAATAATAGTGTTAAAGATTTTCAGCAGTCAAGGTTAAATAGTTCCTCATTAAACTTACATAAAATCAGTCAAACCGTGCACTTTGGGGATTTGTGTCAGGAATGTTCATTGGATTGCCTTGTTTGGCTGTTGTAATTTTTGGTGGACGGGTCTGGAAGTGGAATTTCCATTGAGTTTTCTGTTGCAGCCATGGTGACATTTTCTAAGAAATTGATGCGTTTGATTCTTTGTGTTTCACAATTCCACCTCAACATTGGAGAGATTTTTCTGAATGGTGTGCAATAGTATAGAAGTAGATTCAGAAATGTGGTACAGAACAATTTAAGCAATAGCTGTTACCGTCACTAAGTTTCTTGTCCTTGATGTGTGATCATAAAATTTGCTGATACTTTACAATATAATTACTGGAGATTTATTAAGAAATGATTTGACTACAGGCAAATTCTGCATCAATAGAATTACTAACATAAACTATTTTTATAATTGACATTTTCAGTGTTGGTACACATTGCTGCACAATTCAGATTCTTAAATCCGTTTTTGGGAATGCCTTGACGAGCAGATTAGAAGTGCTTCATTGTCAGTGATACAGAAAAGTAAAACAAAGAGGTAACATGGAGAATCACATTAATACAACCCAGAAACATCTTGTTATACAGTAGGTGGGCTTCAGCTTGCAATCAGACATTGATAGGTACCTTAACAGCCAGGCATTTACCCACCTCTTCCTCATATTTATAATTTTTGGATATTAGATATTTGCTGTTTTCTTGAATGATGGCTTGTCCTGGATATCTGTCTATTTTACATTCAGGATAGTCCAAGTTTCTGGATAGCAATTCTGCAATTGTTACACTCCAATGTCAGGATGCAGTCTGTCAGTTGCAAAGATGAGTTGAGTTACATCGAGTGGATTTAATAGTCTGGTAGCCAATACAATCACCTACAAAGAATTACAAGTTTTGAAAAAATTATCTCTGATCTTGGCCACACATTTAGCAACAGATTTAATGATTTCTTGTGCATGACAACACAAAAGATTAATCACTCACCTTGCAAGTGAAACTTAAACACAAAATACTAATGAAAATGTGCTGGTATTAATTGTGACTTAACTCTATTCCTAATGCCATATTTGATCCGAGAATTGTGTTGAGTCCATTGATATCAGCATCAGTGGGAGGAGTGCTGCAACAATCTGAAATACCCTCAGCTTAAATTTGGGAAGTTAGCAAGGGATTTTGCTCCCAATTGCTGTACAGCATGTGAACATGTGAGGATAGGACATGGTTCAGTTATCATGTTCTTTGTCGACGCTCCTACCTGAATAATAGTTATTTTGGTCAGTTTGTATCCCGGTGAAAGAACACACCTTCAAGAGCAAGAAGGGACAGAATATCCCATATAATAGTTACTTTGGAGATAGTAGGA